TAAAATAAATAATGCAAACACACAATATGATCACGGAGTTCGGACCTTCCGTCCTACGTCTCCGCTCCTCACTCCCGGGGAGAAATCCATTATCACAACCGGGTTTTCTACGTTTACCCGAATAACGTTTACACCTCACACTCGGTTTTCTAGCTAAGCAAAAACTTTACAATTAACACTCTTGCAATCCCACTCTACACCCTCTCAAGTGTTGGTCGCAGACGTATCTCCCTCAAGTGTTAGGAATTACAACCTCTCTCTAGGTATGTTACCTACCCCACTCCTCTTGGGACGATCCCCGACTCATACCACATACTTCTCTCGGTGTACAAGTGTATTACAAAGTGAATCTCATAATTAAGCACGAATACAACAATAGTTGTTCTCTACAATAGATGAGAACATAATTAAGCTCACTCTTAATTGTTACAACTCCCCACAACCTAATTATACAATGTATACAAATACAATAAGCTCAATGGTTGTGTGTGTAAACAATGAAAAAATCAATCATAAACTCAATGTAAACCCTAGCTTAATGAAAATGATAAACAACAAAGAAATAATACAAAACTAGTATTGAGTTTAGAAATTCTTCTCTGAAAAACAAGATGGAGAGATGGATTAAAATGAAGCCCAAGGAATGTAGATGATCTCCTCCACTTGTGAAAAACTTCTTCACAAACAAAACTCTTTTAAACAAACACTGAACAAACTTTAAAATCAAACTATACTTGTTTTAAAAACTTTCTCGAATATTTTTGGTAGTTGGGGTTTGAGGGGTTTATATAGGAAGAGAAACCAACAGCCAAAATCCCAAAACAATTAAACAAAAATCCTAGAGAATCAGATTTACGATTCTATACAAATAGAGTCGTTGGGCGATCGGTGGTCGACCGAGGAAAACTCGCGGTCGATCGCGAGCAACTAAAAAACAAAACTGGGCTCTGAAAAAACAGACGGTCGACCGTGGTGGTCGACCGCAAAACTCTCTGGACTGCATCTGGTCGACCGCGAACCTCTGAAAACAATCCTGAGTCTCTGGACTCAAGGGTGGTCGACCGTGGCAGTCGACCGCAAACAGATACATGCAAAGAACTATTTTCTGATTTTGAAACCCTGTTTAAAAATATCAAACAAATTCCAAAAAATATAAAACTTTGGGAAATGATTGTAGACATGATAATAAACATGCTATAAAAATTTGTTTTTAAAAAAATCCCAAATAAAAATATCATCATTTTGTAAAATAGTCCAAAACATGAAATTGTAAACACATGAGTTTTGATATTTTAGCTTAACCATATTTTAAAATATTACAAAATGATTTTATAGACTTGAAGAAAGATGTAAACTATTGTTATAAAGTCTATAAACAATGAATATAGTATTT